GAGAAGGAAGGTATAGAGAAATGGGAAATTGAGTAATTAAGAAAGACAAAAAGGGAAAACAAAACAAATTAAAAAAAAAAAAGAACAAGGAAAGCCCCCCCGAGAATGGAAAAACAAAAAACAAACACAAAAAAAGAAATGCCCTCAGGGATCCCTCTGCACATCTGTACAAGCTGAGGGGGTAGGTCCCAAGCTGCGTAGCACTGCCTGGCCAGAACGGGCTCCCAACTCGAAAAACAGAAAAGAAAACAAACAATTCAAAAGAAACAGACAAAAGGCCCAGGATACCACCAGTGTGGCAGCCCAGACAGGGAAGCATTTCCACGCTCGAACAGAGCTCCACAGCCTGTTAGGAAGAAGGAAAGATGGCGCCCGGAGCCAGGTATTTGAGCAAAAGGAGGGGGAGGTGGTAAGAGGTAAGGAAGAAATCAAAAGAAGCAGGAAAAAGCAACACCACAGCCAACAAATGGCACTCAGTGAGCTGGTCAGTGCAGGCAGGTGGAATCCAAGCAGCTGGTGCTTCACAGCCAAGTGACTGTGACTGTGGGAAGCAGAGGAGGCCGAGTGGGGGTGAAGACGTGTGCGGGATAGGAAAGCATATATCGTAAATTACCAGTTGTTTTGTCTCCTGCTGGAAGCTCTGTGAAGCTACTTTCTCATACCCCCTATTTGCTGGTCTCTGATAGGAGTCCAGGATGGCGGATCTGCGCTGTGTTTGCTGATAGGGGACCTCTGCATGAATCTCTCCTTGCTCTCCTTTCTTTGTCAGTTTTCTCACTCCATTTTGTGCTTGGCTGAGTTCTTTATCTCTTCATTGGATGTTTTAGGGTTTCAGGATTGGTATTTTCTCTGTTTGGCTTAGTTTTTTGGGTCTTTGCTATGGAGGGATGGTGTGGTACTTCTGCCTAGAGCACCATTTTTTCTTTTTCTAAGTTCTTAAAGTACTACCATAGGTCATTGAATTTAGATAATTCTTTTCTAATATAAGCATTTAGCTCTGTACATTTCCTTCAAAGCACT